CCCAACCCTCTGACCTGGACATTCCTCTCTCCTTTTTCTGGGACTCAGCTCCTCTCTCCAGAAGAGTCAGCCTCAAAGTTACGTCTGTCAGATGTTCCTGGGCTCCCTCAGAAAGTGCTAGGCATTTCCTCCTCTGAATACTTTGTTTATTGCCTTTACAAACTCTTGTTTATGGCTAATTTAGGACATACGCAAAAGTCAAAAGGAACGTGTAATGAACCCATTAGTACCTGTGACCTAGCATCACTGATTAATCCATGACAAACCTGGATCCATTTCTCCGTCCCCCTCAATTGCCCTCAAAATTATTCTGGGTAAGGGGCTTCCCTGGTGGTCCAGGAGCTAAGACTCTGCACTCCAAATGCAGGGAGCCAGGGTTCATTCCCTGGTTAGGGAACTAGATCCTACATGCCACAATTAAGATGTGGTGCAGGCAAATAAATACATCAATAAAAATTATTCTGGATAATATCCTTCTGGATATTTTGAACACATACCTCCTTTCAGACAATTGTCTGTCTCTATCGTTATTTTGAACTGAACTGACCATCACTTCTCTGGTCTTCGTGGTCTGGTCTTTCTCAACTCTCCAGCCCTTTCTCCATCCTGCCCCTAGCTCCCTCTGCTCCAGCTGCGCTGGCCCTTTTCTCACTCTAGTGTAGTAACCCCATTCCTGCCTCAGGACCTTTGCACCTGCTGTTTCCTCTACTTGGAGCAATCTCTCCCTAGATATTTCCAGGCCTCACCCTTTCTCATCATTCAGCCTCAATGGTTATTCTTTAGCCCTCCTCTGATCACCTCTCTTTTTTTATCGCAGTGCTTAGCACCATCTGAAAGTCTTTCATTTCTTTGTTTTTTATCATCTCCTCCCACAGTTATGCACTCCAGGAGAGCAGGGACCTCAGCTATCCAGTTCTCTGCTGTGCTTCTAGCACCTATATGCACTGCCTGTGTGTCTCTCCCAGACTAGACAGTGAGCTTAAGGATTGAGTCCACTTTCTTGTTTATTCTGAGTCCCAGCTCCCAGCCCCAGGCTGGTGCCTGAGACTCTTAATCAAGCACACGCTCCACCCACCATTGTGAGGATGGAACTGAAGCCTTCTTGAGACATCTCATGCTGGAAGGAGCTACTTGTCCTCGACTGAGTTCCTGTGGGGGAAATGGGTCATTCAGGCTCCCAGAGACCTAGAGTCCGTGAGGATTCAGAGCAGAGAGAGGAGAATGTGGTCTGGGGCTTGGGTTCTGGGTAATGATTTGGGGCAAGCTAGAGTAGGGATCCAGAAAGAAGACTCTTGGACTGCAAGGAGATCAAATCAGTCAATCCTAAAGGAAATCAACAGTGAATGTGCACTGGAAGGACTGATACTGAAGCTCTAATACTTTGGCCACCTATGTGAACAGCCGACTCATTGGAAAAGACCCTGATGCTGGGAAAGATTGAGGGCAGGAGAAGGGGGCAACAGAGGATGAGATGGTTGCATGGCATCACTGAGTCACTGGACATGAGTTTGAGCAAGCTCTGGGGGATAGTGAAGGACAGGCAAGCCTGGAGTGCCGCAGTCCACGGAGTCACAAAGAGTCGGACACGACGGAGCCACTCAACAAGAACAACACAAGTAGGGACAGATCCTCAGGACTGTGGGGGACAATTGGGTCTCGGCTCTTTCAGTTCCGACACCTAAACTCACTCCCCATTTACCCTCAACTGCAAAGATCTTCTCCTGAAGCTGCGCTTGGATGCTGCTGAGTGCTGCAAAGTTGCCCACCATGAACACGTGGTCCTCCGAAGGCATGGAGCCAATGGTGGTCAACTCCCGCCTGGCAGTGTGTGCCTGGAAAGCATCTCCCACCTGCAGCAGAGAGGCACATGAGGAGGAGGGGCCCGCCAGCCCTTCTATCTGGGGGAGGTGAAGGCTGAGTCTGGGGGAGCCAAGAGGAAGGGACGCACCCCGATGGCGTAACGGATGATGTTGGCTTTCTCTGCCTCAGGGATGACGTCGCTGTATTGCAGGGGGTCTTTAAATTTCTCCCCGTCTGTGATGACAATGATGATTTTCCTGGCATTCACACGGGCCCCATTCCTACTGTGAAATAGTTCTCTCCTGTCAAGGAAGAAAGAGGGGGGTGACTCTACTGAGTTCTGGGAAGCAGTCATTTGCAGTACTAGAAGCTCCTCTGGAGAGACCAGGGAGGCTTGGTACCCTGAGACTCAGGCATGTTAAGTCATGGATTCATACTCACAAAAATTACTGGCCCCAGCACCTAAGCCATTTTCTTCCTGGGCCACCTGGCCCCCAGTATTGGCAGGCACGTGGTAGTGTGTAGAGAGCGAGAATGGATGAGGGATGAGGAAGAGAAAGGAGCTGAGTGGGGAGAAAGGTGCAAAGAAGACACTTGGCAATAATTCCTGAGTCCCTTCCAGGGAGGTAAAGAGGAGCTGCATTTTTTTTTTTAATAAAATCCACAGCCGTTTATCTCGAACTTCTTGGGCAGAAGCACTGTGCTCATGTTATCTCGTTTAATCCTTCCAACCAAGTTGTGAATTTATCCTCATTTGACAGTTTTCGAAGACTTAGAAAAAGTTGATTACTCCAGCGGTGACCCAGGTAGCAACCCGGGAGCCAGGATGGGAACCGAGAAGCAAACCCAGGTGGGCTCAGAGTCCAGCCAATCCAAAGCCAGGCCAAGGGGAAACACGGCAGAGGAGTCCGGCCCTCACCCCGGTTCAGGGTGCAACCAGTGACGGAACCAGAAACGCCCCAGGAAGACTGCCTGCGGCCCCCTCGCTTCCCCGTGAGCCCTTTCTCCAGATCCTCCTTCAAACACTAGAAAGGGCTGGGTAGACCCAGCGCCAGATAGTGGAGGGGAAGCCTTTTATCTGCAGGCAGTGGGGGATGGAGCTTACACCACTTTCCGGATACCGGTGGCTGTGAACGTCAGACCATTCAGCTGGGCGATAGGATCCACTAGGCTCCGAGAGTTCCGAGCGGTCTGAAATTGGCTGAAGGTGAAGTGGGTCTTCATAAGGTTTGAATACTGCATCAGCGAGAACTGTGAAGGCCAAGAAAAGGGCCCTTGAGTTCAGGAGTTTTGTTTTTTTTTAAGTAAGTTTTAAATTTTGGAATAATTTTGCACTTACAAACCATGTTTCACGTGATTTTGAGGCCTGACAAGTATATATTGAAACCCAGAAAAAAGAAAACTGGAAAATCAGAGGTAAATACTGCTTCTTTCATAGTTTACAAAGAATAAATAACCTTGCTGACTACCATATTTGCTAAATTTAGATTAAAATTTTTTTTATAATATACAAAATCAATTTGAAGTCTATATTTCCTTGTTTCTCAAGAATTTATGGGCTTCCCAGGTGGCTCAATGGTTAAGAATCCACCTGCCAATGCAGGAGACTCAGGAGACGTGGGTTTGATCCTTAAGTTGGGAAGATCCCCTGGAGAAGGAAATGGTAAACCATTCCAGTATTCTTGCCTGGGAAATCCCATGGACAGAGGGGCAACAAGAATTTATACACAAACACAACACACACACACACACACACACACACACTGGTTACTGGGAAATAAAATAATAAGATAAAGAAATCATGAGTTATATGGAAAACATGATAAAGAAATCATCAATTATTTGGCCAAGTTACCTTTAGTCAAATTTCACAGAAAAATTATTTGATATTTCTTTCAATGTATTTAAATAGCAAAAACCTATTTCCTGTGGCATGTGGGGACATAGTAAGTGTGATGGGGGAACCTCCTCTCAGGTCAGGTCTCCAGCTGGCCCTGCATGGTGACCATGCCTCGACCACGAACCCTAACTTCCTCAAGGAACAGGCCTATTGATCCAGCCCCCAGTGATGCCAAGCAGCCTCCCAGGTTGGCCTTCCCAGAGGTAGACCCTCGCCCATCCCACTCCACCGGCCTCAGAGGGCCTAGTCCTCACCTGCGTGTCGGTGCCCTTGGACAGGTCCATCACAGCTCTGACAAAGTCCTTCATTCGTTTAAAGTCAGCTCGGTCAATGCTGCCAGAGCCATCAATCAAGAAGGCGATGTCTATCTCTTGACTTGGACACTCTGCAGAGAGGGAAAGAGGAATCAGAAACACATGTTTGAGGGGACTTCCCTGGTGGTCTGGTGGTTAGGAATCCTGCCTGCCAATGCAGGGGACATGAGTTTGATCCCTGATCCGGGGAGATTCCATATGCCTCGGGGCAACTAAGGGGTGCATCACAACTAGTAAGCCCATGCACCCTAGCCTGTGCTCTGCAACAAGAAAAGCCACTGCAACGAGAAACCTGCCCACCACAATTGGAGAGCAGCCCCTGCTTGCTGCAACTAGAGAAAGCCTGCGTGCAGGAACAAAGACCCAGTTCAGTCAAAAGTAAATAAATAAGTTTTTAGAAAAGAAACTCACGTGTGGGTCGCAGCCACTTCCTGGGGCCCAGAAACCCTTTCTGCCCCAGAGTCAGGAAGCCATTCTTGGAACAGAGACCAACCCCCACACTATTCACAGAGGAGGTCCAAATTTGTTGTCTCAACCCCTTCTCCCTTTAGCAGAGTCCCTGTTTCTCCCCTCCTCCCACAAGGCTTACAAAACGGGAGAAAGAAGTAGAGTGTGGGGGCCGGGTGGGCCCCTCACTCTGTTAGTCAACAAATATTTATTGATTGCACACATCAGGGATACTGTGGAGCATGCATGTGTGTGTGTGTGTGTGTGTGTGTGCGCGCTAAGTGGCTTCAGTTGTGTCCAACTCTTTGCGATCCTATGGACTGAATGGAGCCCACCAGGCTCCTCTGTCCATGGTATTTCCCAGGCAAGATACTTAAACATTGCCATTTCCTCCTCCAGGTGACATTCCTGGCTCAAGGATCGAACCCTTGTCTCCTGCTTGGCAGATGGATTCTTTAGCACGTAGCCACCTGGGCACCCACGGGATTATCACGAAGATAAAAAGAAAGAATATGTCAGTGCCACTCTCTCCATTCGTCCCACCCTCTCCTTCCCACGCTGTGTCCTGATCAGCACAGGGACCCCCGCCAACCATCATCACCATATTCCAGGCATTTTTCTGTGCCCAAGGACACACTTGGAGCAGATGCTAAGGTGTGCTCCCAAGACCTGTCCCCCATCAGGATGGAGGTGCTCATTCCCAGCTATAGGGAGTTGGCTGTCAACGGCTCCCAGTGGAGTTTCTCCTAGGTGTCACCCTACTCAAAAGGGAGGTGTCTTGCCCAAGGTTACACTTCCTGCTCCAGGGGGCAACCTGTACCCAGCCATTCTCCAAGCTCCCGTTGGGGAGACTGAGGCCTCTCTCTCACAGTCTACCCTCTCCATCTACTCAGTCCTGCTTCCCTCATACTCTTATGGGGGTTGCTCCTGAGAATATTCTCAAGGGAGCCTCAGAGTCCGTCTCTAGGGAAATCTGATTGCAGACCAAAGCTTTATAAAAAATCTCATTCCTGCCCTTGTGGAGTCCACACAATAGTGGAGAGACACAGTATATGCACATGAAGAAAATAAGACATTTCAGGCTGTCCCCAGACTTACGTAGGGGGTTGTGGTCTCCGTGCAAAACCCAGCTGATGCCTCTACCAGCACCCCACATCCTGTGTTGGTCTCGGGGTGCTGGGAGATCAGGCCACCACAGCGTTGAGGTGTGAGGCTGAGCTGTGGCAGCCGGCCTCAGGTCACTGAAGCAAAAATGCCTTCTCCCAGCTCCTCACTCCTCCCCCACCCTGCCTGCTCAACCATCACCAGTGCTGAGAAGAAATGGAAGAATGGAAGGTCACTTTCCTCCCCAGTTCCTTGAAGACTAGGAAATCCAGCCACTAGGAAATCCAGCCATCCACACGGCAGGCTGAATGAGTGCTCAGGTGCTCCCAAGCTGGGTAGCTGGTGTCTTCTGCAACCATATCTTGTACTCGTACCCACTGTTTTAGCTGCATGACAAAATCCCCCTCTGCCTCCACGTGCTCTCTCAGCCCAGGCCTGTGGGCAGTGCCCTTGCAGTGTCACTGCTGTTTCTTGCTCTTTTTACTGTATCCCACAGCAGGCACCTGGTTGTAGCTGCTTGCCTTCTGGAAAAAGAACCAAGCCAATCAGGCAAGGTTGGTTCAAGCTCTGGACTCTGCCACTTCCTAAAGTGGAAACTCATCTCTCTGAGCCTCAGTCTTCTCATCTATAAAATAGGGATCATCCTGGCCTCCATGAGGATCTTATGAGAGCCTAGAAGGTGATGCACACCCGGCACCCAGTACCCAACACTGCCTGGCGCACAGTCCTTCCACATCTAGTCAAACTTGCCTTGTCTGCACCAGCTTTACACATGTATGTCCCATTTTCATCAGACATCATACCTCATGAGCCCCTGAAACATCTAAGAGAAGACGTTTACCACTTAGTGTTCAAAGCCACCTCTCCTGCCCTGCTGCAGACATCCCCAGTGGGGTCTGGGACCCACAAGAGTCTTTGCTACTCTCTCTGTCCCCTCTGTAGACTCTACCCTCACAACTTTGGGGGCTATTTCTGCTGCTGCTTCACTTTTGGCTAAAAGCCCACAAAGTCTGGGTTCGTGTTTTCTCTGGGCCAAAACACACGCCTTGGGACTCTCCTGGTGGTCCAATGGTTAAGAATCTGCCTGCCAATGCAGGGAACACGGGTTTGATCCCTGGTCCGGGTGGTAAGACCCGCATGCTGTGGGGCAGCTGAGCCTGTGTGCCACAGGTCCTGAGCCCAAGCTCTATAGCCCTTGCTCCGCAACAAGAGAAGTCACTGCAGTGAGAAGCCCACACACCACAACTAGAGAGTGACCCCTACTCACTGCGGCTAGAGAAAGCCTGCGTAGCGGTGAAGACCCAGTGCAGCCATAAATAAATGGGTAAGTAAGCAACAATAACAACAAAACATGGGCCTTGTGTGGTCCCTGGCTCTCACGGGGGGCCCATTGTTTCCTTTGATGCCGTGCACGGGGTTGTTTATCTGTGCCTGCCTCCTGGTCCAAACAGATGGTCTTCTGTTAGAAAATCAGTCCTAAAGGTAATCACATACACATGCCAGGCTGGAGTCTAACCACTTAGACATGTATATTAAACCTTTTTAATCCTAATAACCACCTCAATTATTAAGTTCCATTTTACCAGTGAGGAAACTGAGGCCCAGGGAATGAAGCCACTTGCCCAAGGACACAGAAGATGAACTTGTAAAGACGGACCCTCAGAGGACTTTGCTGGTGGCCAAATGGTTAAGAATCTGCCTTGAAATACAGGATACTTGGGTTCGATCCCTGGTCTGGGAAGATTCCACATGCCTCGGAGCAACTAAGCCCATACACCGCAACTACTGAAGCCTGTATGCTCTTGAGCCCGGGAGTTGCAACTACTGAGCCCATGTGCTGCAACTACTGAGACTTGAATGCACTCTAGAGCCCATGCTCCGAAACAAGAGAAGCCACCACAGTGAAGCAACGAAGACTCAGCACAGCCATAAATTTAAAAAAAGAAAGAAAGAAAGAAAAAAGACTGACTCTCAGAGAGAGAGACTGCTGCAGGGACTGCCTAGGCACCATTCTCTGTGGGAGACATCAGTGCTGGCAAAACTGTGCCTCACACTCCCTGTGATCAGGTCCTTTTCTGCCCTTGTAAGGGGAAGAGTGAGTCTGGGGGTGTCTTGGCAGCCTAGCAGAATGCGCCAGGACTGCCTCCCTCTTGGATTCTTGGATCTACGGTCCTCACCTCACATTTTCACCACCCAAAACCCATCCTCTGGAAACCAGGAGGCACCCCAGCACCCGTTAGCTAATGTGGGACCCTCATGGCTCCTGCAGCAGCACCCTGAGGCTTCTTCCTGCCCCGTCGGAGTCATCATGGCTCACCCAGCTTAGGGGTCCTGCTGTGACTACATCTCCTGTCAGGCCAGACTGTGCCCCCAGCCCCTGCTGAGCTTGCTAAGCCCTCTGTGAGGGGGCCCGGGGCACAAGAGGCCCAGGAAACAAAGACCCAGGAGGTGGAGACCCAAGTTTCATGCTCTGCTCGCATGAGTGGTTCCAGCACGCACTCCACCCAGAACTGGCGCCTTTGGGGGACATACCTGGCAGGGCGGCGGGGACCGTCCGGATGATCTGCAGATGGGAGTCCAGCAGGAGGCAAGTGCCTTTTATGTACATGTTCTCCCCACAGGCTTTGTGCACAGTCGGGCCGCAGGCCTGGGGGCAGAGGCCCGTGTGGGTGAGGGGGCCCCAGAACACGCCCCCTCCTTTTCCCTCAGCCCCAGCCTCCTCTGCCCGCCCCGTCACTCTGTTTCTCCCTCAAGACCCTCCAGGGACCCAGAAACACTCACCAACAGCTGGGAGAGATGGGTGGAGGCCGCCAGGGACAGGCCCAGGGACATGTCCACAGCCTCTGAGGTGGCTGAGAGGGCAGACACACAGGGTCACACCCACGGGTACACCCTCACCTGGGGGGACAGTCTGGGCTGGAGGCTGAGGAGGGGGCAGTCCTGTGTAGGAGGGTTGAAGGACCCAATCCCTGGGGCGAGTCACTCACTGTTCAGCGAGATGGGCTGACACCCTCGGGTGGCAGGCGTGCAGTCGTACAAACGTCCCGTTTTGTTGACTGTGACCACCTCCAAGGGGGCTCCCACCACCAGTCTGGAGGTACAACCAGGACAGACAGTTGCGGGAGGGATGGGGGCATGGGGTGCTTTGGGTGAAGAAGTGTCACGGGGAAGTGAGATTTCAGGAGGGGAGCTCTTGGCCTCAGCTTGTGTGATGCTATTCAAAATCAGAGCCTGAGTCTAACCCACAGAGGCTGAAAAGGCCATGCTGGGCTTTCTGTTTGTCTGTTTGGGTATATGTGCGTATATATAAATATACATGTATTTGTGTATGCAAATAGTTTGAGAGTTTGTGTATGTGTGTGTTTTAACATTCACTCAGAATAAAACTGTTCAGAACAAAAAATAGCATTTCCCAACCTCAAGTCAGTGCTGTTTGTCTCCTTGGAGCCATCATTCTGAGAGAGCCATTGTTCCAAGAAATAGGTCACCTCAAGTTAAATGGAAAAATGTCCTGAAGCCAATAGATAATTCTGTAATTAATTGGACCATTTATTTATTTATTTACACTTTTATTTATTTATTTGGCTGCTCCAGGTCTTAGTTGCAGTCATGTGGGATCTAGTTCCTTGATCAGGGGTTGAACCTGGGCCGCCTGCATTGGGAGCATGGAGTCTTAGCCACTGGACCACAAGGAAATTCCCAAATTGAATAATTTAAATATGATAGACAATTTAATTTAAATCAGCTGTATCAGAAACTGCTTCATATCATTTATATCCATTTATAAATGCAACTGTTTATTTGCAAAACACCTTGAGAGGAGAGAATTTTTTAATTTGGAAAAACATTCTCATTACCAACAATCTCTCTATTCAGATGAGGGAACTAGACAAATACTAATGTATTTTAACTGATTAGTCACTCAAGTCTTGTTGAATTGGCGTTTAAAGATTCATTCTAGAGGACCATTCCCTTATGGAAACCTGAAATCCTTGTTTGTCTAAGACTCGAGGATGACACTGAATCAGGTGGCTGGAGACGTAGCCATTTGGTTTCTTCTGGCACAATCGGGTAAATAAACTTTTAGTCTTAAACTATTGACCTACAGTTGTTTTTTTTTTTTTACCCCAGCCCATTCTTTACACGACAGCTCAACCTTTTCATTATCACCAGCAGAAACCAGGAAAAACAGTAGCTTTGTAGCAATCAGAACGTCATCCAATATATATTATACACTTGATTGGAAAGTCACTCAGTTGTGTCCGACTCTTTGCGACCCCATGGACAAAAGTACTGGTGAACAGCAGACAATCAAGAGTTTCATTTTTGAAAAAAATAGGGCCTGAACACAAATTGATGGTAAGTGGGACAGAAGCTGTCTGGATTTGTTGGGTGTTGTGTGGTTGTGTGGGGCTCAAGGGAAGCCAGTGGGGGGAAGTGCTGGAGAGATTCTACATCTTGTTCCAGGTGGCTGTTACCTGGATACACATATGTGAAAAATTTATTGAGTTGGACCTTCTAGATTCGTGCATATCAATCTCTGTTAAAAACAAAGAAAATAAAATGCTAGGGCCTGACGTCTGCTTCCACGTCCTCAGCCTGCCAGTCGAGGGAGAAAGGAGGAGGGATGTACATTTAGGACTCAGTGACCTACGTGTGCTCCCTCTTGGCTAACTGAAACTTCCTGTGCTCTCAGGCTCATTGCCAGTGCCACCGCCTCTGTGAAGTCCTCCTGGAATTCCCTCCTGGGTTTGATGTCTCCCTTCCTGTGGCTCTCAGGTTATGCTCGCCTCACACTGTGACTTCAACTCCTTGGGTCCCTGTCTCTGGGACCCGAGAATGTGCCCTTCTGGAGGCAGCGTGGGTACATAATTTGCCGATCCCAATGCAAAATAAAATTATGAGGCCTCCTGTTCTTGGAAAAAAGATTTTATCTCCCTTTCTTCTACAGGCCCTCCATCTCTGCTGTCCTGGTGTTTCCTATTTGCTATTTAGTGTCACACTCCTTCATGCACCAGGAATACAGCATAGATCCTTGGAGGCTGGGCAAGCCAGGTACAGCAGACCTAACCTTGCCCGCCTCATGCAGGTGTTGTGGACAGGTTTGTAGCCCAGGCGGCCCTTCCTCCAGGTGGTAGCAATCAGAATGCCAGCCTGCAGGCCAAGGGGGCAGAGTGGGGGGAAGTGGGCAGGGCCTACCTAGATCTGTCAAACTGGACCACGCTCTGGCCAAAGCTGGCTCCGTCCTCTTGGAAGACCAGGGGCTCCTCCACATCCAAGTTGAATCCATGATAAGAAGCCAGGCCTGAGGAATACAGGGAGGTGGGGGTGGGGAGAACAATCAGAGAAGCCCCTTCTCCTTTGGACGCCTGACTTCTCGGGGTCTTGACACCCATCACGCTCAGCCTTGATTCCCCATCTGCCCCGGAGAAAGGCATTCTGATTATTGCCACCTGTGTGGTTCCCATGTCTCCTTCTCCCTTAAAAATAGTCTAATCACAATACAGAGGGCAACCATCCAGAGAAATACCCCTTACCCACAGTCTGAAATTAGGCCAGTCACCTCCTGATAGGTTAGATAGAGCAAGCATATTCCTTAAAGATAAAGTGACTGTACAATTTATTGTCTAAACTGGGACCTTCCAAGAGGGGAGGGGGCACCATTAATAATTATACCAGGGACATTGGTACCACCTCCAGGCAAACTGGGGCGTATGGTCATTCCACTTAAAAACCGTCCTGCTGCATGTTCCATTAGGCTTGGGGAATAGACTTAGAATTCTGTGACTGGATATTTGTCATTTTGTACTCTCCATGTCCTCATTCCTGGCGCCCAGCTCTAAGGGGACAAGGACAGCTACACTTCCCTGTCTTGGCGCCCGGAACCGTGCCCGGCCCCTAGCAGGTGACTTTAGCATTTACTGACTGACTCTGAACCACACAGCAGGTCACTGGCACAGCCAGGATTCCAACTCAATCTCCAGATTCTTGACTCATCCCAGAGGCTAAGCTAGAAAGCCCCAGGGGCAGACACTTTACATTTCAAGAGCTTTTCCCAGCCCCTTCTCCCACAACCAATCACCTTTCCTCTCCATTCCTCCTAGAAGCCTGGTTGTCCCTGGATGGAGGAGCTGACTCCAACCCCAAGAGTAGGGAAGCTTTAAGGAGACCAGGCATCAGGCCAGGCAGTGACAAGGAGGGTCCAGACACCTGAACCCTGGGACTCTGGGCAGAGGCCAGATGTTTAGGGTGCTGGTCCTTACTGGGGCCACATGCAAGGGAGCCTCACGTCCAGCATCTTCTTCACAAAGGGTGATTCTATTCCTAGTCTGGAAGTAGCCCCTGTGATCTGACAGATAGAGGATACCAAGGGATGCAGACTCAGGTGCCTCAGGGGCCAGGCAGGTGACATCAAAGACTGAAGTGGGCAGGTCTGAGCCCCAGGGAATAAAGGGGGCAGCCACTCCCAGACTCTGGTACCCAGAGCAGCCAGACCTTCCCATTTCTCAAGAGAAGCTGGAAAGACTCAGGAGATGTGCAGGACCAAGGAGGTGCCGTCTAAACTAAAGTCTTCCCATCTCTTGTGGATGGTGTGGCCGCCCCTCCCAGGGGCCCTAGGGCAGACACCCCTCACTTCCAGCACCCACTCCAGGGCCCCCAGGAGAGGAAGGGAGAGGGAAGCCAAGGGGGCAACCTGGAGAGCAGCTCACCTTCCACCCAAGCGTCACCCATGAGCCCGCTTCCCTCGGCTTTGCCCAGCTCCTGCGCCTCCCCAGATTCCAGGCTATTCCCCCCACCACACTAGACTGGACAGGAGTCCTCTCCTTTTCCTTCAGCTCCTCCTGCCTGCCCTACCAGGCAGAGACCACCGCTCCCCCCACGACAAGGCTTCTCACAGCCCCGAGGACCCCCACTCACCAGTCAGGAACAGCACAACTGCAAAGGCCATCCCCAAGCAGCTCATCAGAAAAAAAGAAGAAGGCCGGGCAGCAGAGCGCTGGAGGGTGCTCAGTGTCTCGGGGGGAGTTAAAATAATGAGTCAGGGCTTGACGTGGCAGGAGGAAGGCTTGGTGAGGAAGTACTTGGTTATTTATAGAAAGGCGGGGGCCCAAGACACCTTGCGGAAAAGCCCCCATACTCCTTCCCATTCTACCTCCAGGGAGTTGGCTTCCCTGGCTGTCCCAGACCACCCTCCCCCCCGCCCTTAAGACTCGCTTGATGCCCAGGGTCCTGGGAGCTCTCTGGGGCCTCAGGAATCAGGCTGCATATGAGTGGAAGAGGCAGGACAGAGAGCCGGAGAAGGCCCTCTGCATGGACATGAGCCTGGAGAGGAGCAGACCACTGCCTGGGTACTTGTAGGGACTGGAGCATGGCTGAGGGTGTTGTTTAAAGAATCAGAGCCCAGGGACTTCCCTGTGGTCCAGTGGTTAAGACTTCACACTTCAAATGCAGGGAGTGAGGATTTGATCCCTAGTTGATGAACCAAGATTCCCACATGCTGGGTGGCACGGCTAAAAAATACTTTTTTAAAAAAAATATTTTTTAAAGAATAAAGAAGCAGAACCCAGCAAGAGGAGAATGGACAAGCACACTGGTAAATTCCTATAGTGCATTTACTAGTCAGCAATAAAAGAGAGCTGACCAAAGGTATGGGTAACAACATGGATGAATTTCAACTTTGTCATAAGTGGAAGAAGACAGACACTAGGACTGCATAATAAGAATCCTTTCATAGGAACAGGTGAAATTAATATAGGAAGCTGGAAATCAGAAGAGTGATGGCCTCTCGAGGGGTGGGGATGTCTAACGTGTTAAATTTAACATTCAACACACAATATTTTAACATCTGTTACACTGCTAAGTCACTTCAGTCGTGTCCGACTCTGTGCGACCCCATAGATGGCAGCCCACCAGGCTCCCTGTCCCTGGGATTCTCCAGGCAAGAATGCTGGAGTGGGTTGCCATTTCCTTCTCCAGTGCATGAAAGTGAAAACTGAAAGTGAAGTCGCTCAATCGTGTCCGACTCTTAGCGACCCCATGGACTGCAGCCTACCAGGTTCCCCCATCCATGGGATTTTCCAGGCAAGAGTACTGGAGTGGGGTGCCATTGCCTGGGGAGGGGTAAATACATGGATGGTTGTTATTTTCTCTGTAGATTTCTCTCTTTCTCCGGTGTGTTTCCATTGAAGTATAGTTGATCTACAATGTTGTGTTACTTTAAGGTATAGCAAAATGATTCAGTTATACATACATAGACATCTATTTTTTTTCCGGTTCTTTTCCCTTATAAGTTATTATGAAGTATTGACTATAGTTCCCTATAATGCTATACAGTCGGACCTTGTTGGTTATCTATTTTATATATAGTAGGGTGTATATATTAATCCTGAACTCTTAATTTTATTGCCTCCCCTCCTTTCTCCTTTGGTAACCGAATCTGCGTATATGTGTTTGTTTGTATTTTGGCCAGGCTGTGTTCCCCATCCAGGAACTGAACTCATGCCTCTGCAGTGAAAGCACCAAATCCTAACCACTAGGTCACCAGGGAATTCCCCGTGTGTGTCTTTAACATTCCACAATAAATGAATATCTCTCAAAAAGCCCAGGAGGAGACCTAGAAGGTTAAAATACGTGACAAAAGTCCCTAACTGGGACATACTGTCTCATGTATATATGTGACAGTCATTTGAAGCACTTAAAATGTAGATTAAATGTCGAGTAAGGTAGTACACCCCTTACCCTTGGTTCGATTTCCAAGAAAATATGAAATAAGAAATTTCAGAAATAATTCATATGTTTAAAATTGCACCCTTTTCTGAGTTATGTGACACAATCTCCTACCATCTACTGCAACTCGAAAAGGACGTGAATCATCACTGGTCCAGCATATCTTGCCCATTAGTCACTTATTAATAGTAGCCAGCTCAGTTATCAGATTGATGAGGTATCCCAGTGCTTGGGTTCAAGTGACTTTTTTTTTTTTACTAAAAATGGCCCCATTGTGCAAGAGGAGTGACCCTGGCACTTCAGATGTGCCAAAGAGAAGCTGCAAAGTACTTTTTTAAGTGAAAAGGTGAACATTCTTGACTAAGAAAAGGAAGAAAAATCATATGCTGAGGCTGCTAAAACCTACAACAAGTACACCTCTTCTACCTGTGAAATTGTGAAAAAGGAAAAAAAAATTTGTGTTAGTTTTGTTGTCGCACCTCCAACTGCAAAAATTACGGCCATGGTGCATGGTAAGCCCCTAGTTAAGATGGAAAAGGCTTTTGAAAACTTCTGCAATTAGGGACTTCCCTGGTGGTCCAGTGGCTAAGACGCCAAAGCCCCCCATGCAGGTGGCCCAGGTTCAATCCCTGATCAGGGAACTGGATCCCACATGCCACAGCTAAAGACCTGGTGCAGCCAAATAAATTAAATAAATAAAAAGAATTTTAAAAATTTGTTTTACCATTATGTTTTCTTTATAAGAGCTATGTTTCAAATAAAATGACTACAACAGACTTATAGGAAAGAAATTGGTAAGTGCAAACAAACAAAAATTTAAGTTCTGTTACCCTAAGAGAAAGCATTGTGTTTTTGGCCCCTCAGTCATATCCAACTCTTTGTGAGCCCAAGGACTGTAGCCCACCAGGCTTCTCGGTCCCTGGGATTCTCCAGGCAAGAATACTGGAGTGGGTAGCCATTCCCTTCTCCAGAGGATCTTCCTGACCCAGGGATCGAACCCAGGTGTCCTGCATTGCAAGCAGATTCCTTACCATGTGAGCTGCAGGGAAGTTCCAAAACAAAGCTTTAAAATGGGACAAAAGTAATCATGAAGATGAAAAGTATAAGCCACAGTAAAGAAATTACACTCACTTTTTCAGGATAAATGACATTGCAGTAAACATTATCACTGGGGATATAAGGCACTGAATCTTAATAACAAGGTATTTTGAGAGGGAAAGAGACCATATTCACCTAACTTTTATTACAGTAAACTGTTAAAATTGTTCTATTTTATTATTAGTTACTGTTGTTAATCTCTGGATGGCAATAAAACACAGTATTTCATTTGCATTGCATGACAAATGGTTAACATCCTCAGTCATAAATGGGACTTATGGAACTTCTCTGGTGGTCCAGTGGTTAAGCTAATGAAAGGGGTGAGGGTTCGATCCCCAGTCGGGGAGCTAAGATCTCACATGTCTCGCTGCCAAAAAACCAAAGCATAAAACTGAAGTAATATTGTAACAAATGCAATAAAGACTTAAAAAATGATCCACATTAAAAAAAAATCTAAAAATAATTAAATAAATATGTTCTTAGAAACCAGTAACAAAAACATTGATATACTAAGAAAAAAAAAAAAAAAAAAAAAAAAACAGAAGAAAATGAAATAACACAAATGACTAGTGACGTTTAAGCCTATGTGAAGATGCCTGAGCTGAACAATAACAGAAGAAAAGCAATTTCTTTGTAATATCATACTATCAAAGATTAAAAATCTAATGTTTGGACGGACCCTCATAAACACTGGGGCACAAGATTGATTGAGGTCCTGTCTATATAGTGGGGGAAATATCGTTAATCTCTTACTGGGCCTAATTTATAAATTAAACTCTATCACAGGTATGTAAAGTGAAAGTGAAAGTCTCTGTGTCTGACTCTTTGCGACTCCGTGGACTATAGTCTACCAGGCTCCTCTGTCCTTTGGATTCTCCAGGCAAGAATACTGGAGTGGGTAGTCGTTTCCTTCTCCAGGGAATCTTCCCAATTCTTTACCATCTGAGCTACCAGGGAAGCCCAACGAGTATGTAAGTATAGGAAAAACATATAATACAGAGAGCTCAGAACTCTACAAGGTTGCAGGTAGCCATGGAGGGTCTTGGAACAGAACCCCCAGGGATATGAAGAATCCTGTAGAGACAATATCAAATAATTTTCTAAACAAAAATTCTAGCTTTATTTACTTAAGGTGACATTTAACTGTGGGAAGAAATTAATTAGATGCTAAGAAGGGCATTGCTGATGCCCTTGTAGGGAATGGGGCTGAAGATCATGATTGCTGACTGTACTTCCTACAAAGATGGTCAAGGCCAAGTTGAGCAATAGTCTTCTCCCTCTTGTGCTGAGGGGTCAGTAACAAACAGCTCCCCGTCATCACTTCTGCGGACCTGGGAACTTCTCTCTGTGTTTGGAACCACAAAAATAATTAAAATTTTTTTTTTTAGTTTTTCAAATGAATTTATTTATTTAATTTCGCGGCTCAAGGGTTCCTCTAGTTGCCCTGGGCAGGCTTTTCATTGCAGTGACTTCTCTTGCTGCAGAGCATGTGCAGGCGCTGTAGTTTAGTTGCCCTGCACAGCATGTGAAGTCTTCTGGGACCAAGGATCGAACCTGCGTCCTCTGCATGGGCAGGCAGATTCCTAACCACTACACCACCAGGGAAGTCCAGGGATGATTTTTTTGACAATCTTCCTCAATCCAAAAATCTAAAATTCTCTTCATTTCCTCCATCTTCATCACACCTCATGTTTTAGAAACATTCTTGAATGTATCACATTTTATATGTCACCTTTAATTTCAGACTTCTCTTCACAAGCAAGGCTTGAGGTCAATTGTTCCAGCGACTGTAAAATTTCCAATTTTGCTTCAATTGTAGTCTTACTTGTCTCAGCAGAAGTCTTTTGTTTTTCACTCATTTTTAAACAACAATTAGGGCAACTGGCAAAAAGATACTCAAATATTTGCTTGAGTTGCCACCCACACGTTGCCATGGAAGTACTTTCTGCCAGGCCTGATGCTGTGGGTGCCAAGATAGTGAGAGATAAAGATAGTTATGTTAATGAGGCAACTTTTGGAAAGCAACTAAATATGGGGGCTGGTAGCCAGTGGAGACACCACATGATTATGTGTTTGGAACTTCCAGCCCCATCCTTCAGCTTCAAGAGGGGAGAAGAGCTGGAGACTGAGTTCAATCACCAATGACTAATGGTTTAATCCATCATGTCTATGTAATGAGATGGTGGCTCAGTGGTAAAGAATCCGCCTGCCAGTGCAGGAGACTTGAGAGACGTGAGTTC